GTGTATTTGATCCGCGAGAGTGCTCAGCTTGAGAGTGTTCGGCCGAAGCGTGCTCGGCCTCGGAGTCAAATCACGCGATTTGATACGCGGTGTATTTAATCCGCAAGAGTGCTCGGCTTGAGCGTGTTCGGCCGAAGCGTGCTCGGCCTCGGAGTCGGATCATGCGATTTGATATGTGATGTATTTGATCCGCGAGAGTGCTCGACTTGAGCGTGTTCGGCCGAAGCGTGCTCGGCCTCGTAGTCGGATCATGCGATTTGATGCGCGAAGTGTGTTGGAGCACGCGAGAGTGCTCGTCTTGAGAGTGTTCGGCCGAAGCGTGTTCGGCCTCGACGCGTGTCGTAGTGCTCGGCTTAGGTACATCCTTTGGAAGATCGTCCCTACGACAAATTCCGGTAAGAACACTAGTATTTTAACCTATGTAATGCACATGTTAAATGTTTATTATATATAACTAAAATTTAAAATAAATTATGTATATAAATAAATACTATGCTTGAATGTATGAATTATATTTAAAATTTAAATAAGTAGATATTTTAAATATATAAATTATATTTTAGATTCATGATAGATAATTTATATTGTATCATAAAATTATTTTTATTTAGTGATAGTTTATTTTAAAAATGTTAAAATTTAATTTATAAATAATTATGATAAATAAAAATTAAATAAGATATAAAGCTAAAAAAATCCCTAAAAACACTCTCGTTAAAGAAAAATTCTTAAAAACACTCTAATGCAAGATAGTCATTCCTATTTTATAGATAAGGAATTTTTTTTTTTTATAAAAGAAGTCTTTTACATTTTAAAAAAGAAAGAATAATATATTACCAAATGACTTGTGCATAGATTACAAACTAAGGTGGCCATTTTGGCAATTACCTATGAGCTTTCACGCCCACCACCTATGATGAGATCGGACTTGGTCAAAAATTGCCCAATTTGATGAAACTTTGGGCACCTCGCTCATCTACCTTTGCTTTGCTCCAACACTCATTCTTAGGTGAAATGTCAATGAAAGACAAACGGCAATGCTTGGCTTCCCATGAAACCATGACACTTTCAATGATGAAAGCAACCAACAATATAAAAAATTTTAAAAAAAAATTAAAAATGAAAAACTCACAAAATTCCACGAAACCAAAAAAAGGACATTCATTGTGTTTGGTTATAACTTATGATGTCTGCCATTGCCCACATTTCATCTGAAGAAAGGAAAATGAGTGACTGTTTGACCGGTCGCGAAAGTTACATTTCATCTCAGACCCTAACCCACGCTTTCGCTTTGCAATAAAGACACCAAGGGCATTTCAGTAATTACGCCCCGTGCCGGCCTCGCCTGCTACCGCAACTACCAACAAAGTAAAACAATTCACAAATGTACTCTTTTTTTTTTTTTTTTGTAAGTGAAAAATAAAAAAAAAAATAATATCACTCATTTTCAAATAAAAATAAAAATATATCTTAAGGGTAACTAATTTATATTTCTTACAATAAAAAAATACGCAATTAGTACAATCAAACATAAAGTACCAATACTTTGCTGTGCACATGTAAGATTTCCCATGGAGATTAA